TGAACACTCACAAATTGTTCATGGTACTGGCATTGCTCTGAGAAGACCAGAAGGGAGTGGAATACTCCAAGCGGTGCTTTGCTGCCAGCGTACTCTGGGAAGCTAACCCTCTTTGCGCAAAGCCATTGTTGGTACACACCTATGGCATGGTTCCATTAAAAAGTCAGTTTTAATCAACAGTTACCCCATTGTCATGTGGCACAGGCAGCCTTGTACCTGGGATGACTTCATACTGCTTCTTTATATTTCCAAAACATCAGCCATTTTGTTCTCAGAGTTGCTGCAGCCTGTTACCGGGAGGCACATGCACTGTGATCACTCTGTTTCTCTTGTTTATTTTTATTCCCTCACTGAATTTTTCCTTAATCTAAACTAGCAGCCACTTTAGTTGGAAGTAAAAGTGTATGAATAATGGATTTTTTGCATGGTATCGTGGAGGTGCTGAGAGCCATTGTACCAAACTGTAACCCCGGTATATGATGGAAACCACTTCAAGCCAGGAGGTCTGCCACACCCCCAGCATGACTAGGTCCACCCCCTATAATTTTTTGGTTTACTGGCAATTCAAAAACAGGGGAAAAAATCACTTTGGGTCAAACCAAAATTGCATTTTAAAAAAATGTTTTTGGCAAATTAAGAAGTTGGGGAAAAGTTCATTGGGCAGGGGGTTGGACTAGATGACCTCCTGAGGTCCCTTCCAACCCTGAGAGTCTAGGATTCGCTCTTCCCCTCTGCCCCACGATTGGCAGTCACGGGTCGTCTATGGCTTCAAGCAAATCAGGCCAGAGACTTTCCAAGATTCACCCTGCCTTCGTAAAATGATGGAGATCAGACACAAAGTGCCAGGCTAACGTGTAACTGTATGCCGGTGGGTGCACTCACACCATAACCACAGTGCACAGCATCTCAGAGCCCAGGGAGACAGGTCTTCCTCCTCCAGAATGGCATTCCAATTGACACCCTTTCTAGGCTGGCTGGAGAAGAGCACAGAGTAGCTGAGTGGGGGTAACTGGTGTCTGGAAGCAATGATCCTTAATCAGGCTGCTCAATACTCTCCTTGTATAGCAAGAGAAAAAAGAAACAAGCTGCATAGAACAGAGGATAAGGAATTAAACCGCAAAGAAAGTCTATGGGGAGACAGATTCTCATTGAGTTTGTGCTGCTGTTTGTTTTCCGGACAACCTCTCAGAATAAACATGAGGCTTTTCTAGTTCAACTGGTGCATTTTTATTCAAGGCAGCAAAGAGTATTTTTCCGGGTAATGTTCTAGGTGCTTTCTCAGAGTACAGCTAATGGTATTCAGTTAGAACTGGCTCCCTTACTGTACCAGAGGTTTATTTAACTTAAAATTGTAGTGAAAGTTGGATCGTTTTCCTGAGAATAAGGGGAAGGGTCCTTAATAAATCTGTGGTAGTGAAGAGACAAGATTGCTCAAGGGGTTGGAGCCTTTCACCATGGATTCAGATCCTGATGAGGTCAATGGTAGCCAGCCCTTTTACCAGCCAGTCACTGTTCATTGGTCTGTTAGAGATATGTAGGTGGTTGCAGACTCATTCATACTGGCCCTCTCTTCATAGAACGAGCCCAAGGTGTTAGGGAACTGCATGGAACCGGCATGTGTGGCAAGGGTCTATAACCTATCTCTCATGCCTTTGTGTGGAGGAGGATTTGAAGTGGAGGCTTTTTGCATCAGTCAGGAAGGTTTGTTCAGTTGGGAGGAGGGTCGGATTACTTGTTGCTGAGGGTAGTTTGCAGCCAGAAGTAAGGATTGGGTTTGGGTGGATTGATTGCCCAGGTTTTGCGGTGGGATGGGTGGCGGCAGGTGGAGAAGACCATGAAAGGCTCTCAGAGAGTCTTGTCTCTCGTCTCTTGGCACTGCAGACGTTATTGCCAGTGAACCAGACTTTCCGTCTTCCATGTCACATGGACCTTTACTAACCAGCTGTCTCTATTCCAGATGGCAGTGCGATATTCCGCGGATGCTTCCACCGGCCGGACAACGTTTCCTTAGCTTTGCCTGTGACTGGGGTGATGCTGAACATGTCTGTGGACAAGTGTGTGGACTTCTGCACTGAAAAGGTAGGTGGGAGAAGTGAATGGGGCTCTAAGCGAAGGACCTGGCACACACCTCCAGTTTGCAATGACATAAATCAGTAATAACCCCACTAGAGCCAAGGGAGTGACTGGTGAAACATGGGTGCAAGTGGGGAAGGATCAAGCTAAGAGTCCTTCCAGAGCTCTGCATTTGCTTCAGAATAGTCATGTTAAAAATCATACTCAATACATTCTAATCCAATTTAATGGAATAATTGCTTGTGTCCAAACTACAAGAGGTGAAATTTACAGTTTGTATCTTTGCCATACAAAAAGTAGGTTCTAAGGCAACGCTGAGGATCACTAAATTTCTCCTTTCGCTTAATCTGGGTTTGAATGTTAATTTTTAAAAAAATGAAAGAAAGAAAGAAAACAAGCAAACGAACAAACTTACTGGCAGATCGCTGACCAGAAATAACAGATTAATGCTTCACCTCCAGCAGTAGACTGATGGCCAAGAATCTGAACCCAACATGGGAAAAAGGAGAATGTGTTAGAGGAAACCTGTCATTAGAGGAAACTGCGGATTCCATACCATAGTAATGGGGGAAGGTAGTTTCCTTCCTGACCCCAGCTGTGGTCACAGTTTATGTCCTGAAGCATGAGGATTGTTCATTTTTCTATGGCTCATATAACTGCAGATGTTAATCATGTAAAGGTCAAACCGTCTGCAGCAGGGAGTTCCTCAGCAAACAATCCCTACAACTTACAAGTGTCACATAGGGCTACATCGCCACCCTCAAAACAGGAAGCTGTTCCTTATAAATTCCTTATAAATGCTGTTATGAACCAATGAAACTCCACTGTCTGGCAATGACAGCACTTCCTGGGACTCGGTTGCTATGAGCTCTGAGGATGCCCAAACGTATACTTAAATGGCTGCCCTCTAATGAGGCCCTCCCGTCCTGCATCCGCTGACACTGGAGGTCTCCCCGCTGTCACATTTCAGTGCCATAGACAGATGTAACTCAAACAGATGCCTGGCAAACAGGACGTTAAGAAAGGGATTTGAAAACAATATAGCTAGACTCAGCAGCTTTCCCTGGCTCTGTCTGCATCTCTACCCCAGGGAACATGCTCCCTCAGCCGCTTGATGGACCAGAGAGCCCCACTAAAAACCATTAGGTTCCCTGCACTCTGTCACATTGGATAAATAGGAAAGCAGCGGCTTTACACCTCAGCCCTGCTTTGTTCTTGCTCCCCTGAGAGCTTGGCTCTCGGAGGTGTAAATAAAATCCTGAGCACCGAGCCCCTTGATTAACCCAGCGTTGCTACAGTCCTGGGTGTTAAATTGCCTGTCAGTCTCTGAATGTTCCCTCATAACTCTGCACTTTAAAATCCAAATGAGGTCACAGAAGATGCAGTCTGTGGGCTTTTAGTAACCTTACTCTGGGTGACAAACTCACAAATTACCGGAGCAGCATCAGGCCATGATTCTAAGAGGAGTATCATAGCTCCAGATATATTACACCCTGCACTAGCAAATAGCTCGGCAATTTCCAGCCCCGTGGTTTGGAATGCAGGGCCACGGCTGGGCGAGGAGGCGCTGGAAATGCTAGAACTGTGGTTGGGTTGGTTTTTGTCGAAGCCAAGCTGCCGTTGCTAGCTATGCAGCTTTGTGATGGGGTCGCCCAGAGTAATAACCCCTCGCCCCTCGCCCGGCTCGACTCCAAGCATGGTTACGTGGCTTCAGAGCTCGTGGCCGCAGTGGAGGTACTGCTGGTCTGTGGAGTGCCACTGGAATCTGGCCCACAGAACACATTTCATTTACAAAGCACTCTGTGCCCTGAACCGAATTGGCCCTTGCGGTGTGGAGAGGGGTGTGTGTGAAGATAGCCAGTGGGAGATGCCAAGGAGAGGGGTGTGTCCAAAGGCCCACCCAGAGGCACCAGCAAAGGTGCTTACGGACCTTTTAACATGGAAATGTAGCTGCCTAGTGAGTTCAGGCACTTACAGGGTCAGATGGAGGTGAGGGGGGGGGGCAGGGGTTTGCACATTGCACATTGCCGTGGTGCCAAACTCCTTTTGTGCATCTAGGCCTTAGTCTCTCTGTGCTCCATCCTTACAATGGGGACAATAGCAGGCTTTAAAGATTGTGAGGCGCTCTGGTGAAGGGGGGGCCACCGAAGTACCATGGATAGATTGAGAGCAGTCTGCCTATGCAGATCGCAGTGCAGAATCAGGGCCTAAGAGTAAATCTACCCCTCTGGGATTTAGCTAGGAGCGGTCACTCTTGTAATTCACAGCCCTTTTCCAGCTCCTGACCCAGAAAGGAATCGTGAGAGAGAGAGAGAGGGAAAAGCTTCTGTCACCCCAGAGACTTGTGAACTGGCCCCAAACACCAATGCCGTTATTCCTGTTTTGCTGGGTGGGGTGATAGCTGAAGTGTAGCTGCAGTGTAGACGGACCTTTTGATAATGACTAAACTTGGGAGAACTAAAGGAAACACTTTCCCAGGCCACTGTGCTCAATCACTGACCCAGCGTTAATAAGTAAGGGCCTGACCATGCTGCCCCTGCAGATGATGGGAGCTGGCCCTGAACTCTGATGGCAGCAGAAATGGGCCCTGTGTCTGGGGCTGAGTTGGTGGCGATCAGGAAGCAGGTGGGCGCGGGTGGTGGGTGGCAGCTGGCAGGCAGGCAGCAATGGGCTGTGCATCCCAGCCTCCTGGCCTGCTTCAGGCGGCTCCAGCTGAGCGGCTCTGTCCCTTGCTCCCCCCCAGGAATACCCGCTGGCAGCCCTGGGGGGGGCCTCCTGCCACTGCGGCTTCCCCACCACGCTCTTCACCCTCCACGAGCGCGAGGACGAGCAGCTGTGTGCCCAGAAGTGCGGCGGCGAGGAGTTCGAGAGCTGCGGGACCGCTGAATACTTCATCATGTACCAGACGCAAGTGCAAGGTACGGCGCGTCGGGCCGGGCTCTTTGCTCCGACAGCGTGTGTCTGCTGGGGAGGCAGCGCGAGAGGTTTCTAACTCTCCTCTTGCAGCAAGAGCAATGACGCCGGGAACCCCTGAGCGCAGCTGCTCACCTGGAGTTCAGCTAATACTGGATAGTTATTGCTACGTGCCTGCGGTGTCTTCTTCCCTGCAGAGGGGCTGGAGAGCTGGTGCATGCTGGAGAGCTGGTGCATCAGCTGCTCGCTCGATGCTTCCCCTTTAACAGCTTTCGAGCAGAGCCAAGTGGCTGCCAGGAGACAGCTCGACCCCCCTCCGCTGAGAATAGGGCCAGTACCTCTCTGACTCACAAAGACTTTTGCTCAGTAGCTTTGGACTCCCCGCTGCCTAGCCAAATGCTGATCCTTGGTGGCCCCCCGTTGCCCACCTCCCATTCGTCAGTGCACCCTCTACTGGGGGTTGGGCTGATGGGACATGCAGTGTGATGCATGTTCACAGCAGCCTTTGTTACAAGCCCTGGTGGGAATACTCTGCCATATATTGAGCATGTTCATTTCCTTTCAAAGTCAGCAAGGGGCATGTTTTGATTATAAGGCTTTGATGTGACCCCAGCAAAGGACAATGAGCACCATTAAATCAGAGGCAGAGCTTGGAGCGCTGCCTGGGACAGTGGTTCTCCAGCTATCTCAGTCTGCAGACCTCCCAGGACGGGAAAGTCACCTGATGGTGGCCACCTTTACTGAGCCCTGGTCTACACTAGGAGTTGAGGTCGAATTTAGCAGCGTTAAATCGATTTAACCCTGCACCTGTCCACACGACAAAGACCTTTTTTTCGACTTAAAGGGCTCTTAAAATCGATTTCCTTACTCCACCCCCGACAAGGGGATTAGCGCTGAAATCGGCCTTGCTGAGTCGAATTTGGGGTACTGTGGACGCAATTAGATGGTATTGGCCTCCAGGAGCTATCCCAGAGTGCTCCATTGTGACTGCTCTTGACAGGACTCTCAACTCAGATGCACTGGCCAGGTAGACAGGAAAAGGCCCACGAACTTTTGAATTTCAATTTCCTGTTTGGCCGGTGTGGCAAGCTGCAGGTGACCATGCAGAGCTCATCAGCAGAGATGACCATGATGGAGTCCCAGAATCGCAAAAGAGCTCCAGCATGGACTGAACCGGAGGTACGGGATCTGATTGCTGTTTGGGGAGAGGAATCCGTGCTATCAGAACTCCGTTCCAGTTTTCGAAATGCCAAAACATTTGTCAAAATCTCCCAGGGCATGAAGGACAGAGGCCATAACTTGGACCCGAAGCAATGCCGCTTGAAACTTAAGGAGCTGAGGCAAACCTACCAGAAAACCAGAGAGGCCAACAGCCGCTCCGGGTCCAAGCCCCAAACATGCCGCTTCTATGATGAGCTGCATGCCTTTTTAGGGGGTTCAGCCACCACTACCCCAGCCGTGTTGTTTGACTCCTTCAATGGAGGTGGAGGCAACACGGAAGCAGGTTTTGGGGACGAGGAAGATGATGATGATGAGGTTGTAGATAGCTCACAGCAAGCAAGTGGAGAAACCATTTTTCTCGACAGCCAGGAACTGTTTCTCACCTGGACCTGGAGCCAGTACCTCCCAAATCCACCCAAGGTTGCCTCCCGGACCCGCCAGGCGGAGAAGAGACCTCTGGTGAGTGTACCTTTTAAAATACTATACATGGTTTAAAAGCAAGCATGTTTAATGATTAATTTGCCCTGGCATTCGTGGCTCTCCTGGATATACTCCCAAAGCCTTTGCAAAAGGTTTCTGGGGAGGGCAGCCTTATTGCGTCCTTCATGGTAGGACACTTTACCACTCCAGGCCAGTAGCACGTACTCGGGAATCATTGTAGAACAAAGCATTGCAGTGTATGTTTCCTGGCATTTAAACAACATCCGTTCTTTATCTCTCTGTGTTATTCTCAGGAGAGTGATATCATTCATGGTCACCTGATTGAAATAGGGTGCTTTTCTTAAGGGTACATTCAGAGGTGCCCGTCCCTGCTGGGCTGTTTGCCTGTGGCTGAACAGAAATGTTCCCTGCTGTTAGCCACGGGAAGGGGGGAGGGGCTAGCCACGCGCTGGGGGGAGGCAAAATGCGACCTTGTAATGAAAGCACATGTTTCTGTGTATGTAATGTTAACAGGAAGGTTTACCGTAAAAGAGTGTAGCCATTGTTCTATAAAATGTAGCTTTTTAAAAACCACTGTCCCTTTTTTTTTCTCCATCAGCTGCATGTGTTTCAAGGATCTTCTCCTTCCCAGAGGCTAGCGAAGATTAGAAGGCGAAAAAAATGCACTCGTGATGAAATGTTCTCTGAGCTCATGCTGTCCTCCCACACTGACAGAGCACAGACGAATGCATGGAGGCAGACAATGTCAGAGTGCAGGAAAGCACAGAATGACTGGGAGGAGAGGTGGCGGGCTGAAGAGAGTAAGTGGCAGGCTGAAGAGAGGGCTGAAGCTGAAAGGTGGCGGCAGCATGATGAGAGGACGCAGGATTCAAGGCTGAGGCTGCTGGAGGATCAAACCAATATGTTCCAGTGTATGATTGAGCTGCAGGAAAGGCAGCAGGAGCACAGACCGCCGCTACAGCCCCTGTGTAACCAACCGCCCTCCTCCCCAAGTTCCATGGCCTCCTCACCCAGACGCCCAAGAATGCGGTGGGGAGGCCTCCGGCAACCCGGCCACTCCACCCCAGAGGATTGCCCAAGCAACAGAAGGCTGGCATTCAATAAGTTTTAAAGTTTTAAACTTTTAAAGTGCTGGGTGGCCTTGTCCTTCCCTCCTCCACCACCCCTCCTGGTGCTTCTCTCCTCCACCACCCCTCCTGGGCTACCTTGGTAGTTATCCCCCTATTTGTGTGATGAATGAATAAAGAATGCATGAATGTGAAGCAACAATGACTTTATTGCCTCTGCAAGTGGTGATCGAAGGGAGTGGGGAGGGTGGTTAGCTTACAGGGAAGTAGAGTGAACCAAGGGGTGGGGGGTTTCATCAAGGAGAAACAAACAGAACTTTCATACCGTACCCTGTCCAGTCATGAAATTGGTTTTCAAAGCTTCTCTGATGCGCACCGCACCCTCCTATGCTCTTCTAACCGCCCTGGTGTCTAGCTGTGCATAATCAGCAGCCAGGCGATTTGTCTCAACCTCCCACCCAGCCATAACATCTCCCCCTTACTCTCACAGATATTGTGGAGTGCAAAGCAAGCAGTAATAACAGTGAGAATATTGGTTTCGCTGAGGTCTAACCGAGTCAGTAAACTGCGCCAGCGTGCTTTTAAACGTCCAAATGCACATTCTACCACCATTCTGCACTTGCTCAGCCTGTAGCTGAATAGCTCCTGACTACTGTCCAGGCTGCCTGTGTATGGCTTCAGGAGCCATGGCATTAAGGGGTAGGCTGGGTCCCCAAGGATAACTATAGGCATTTCAACATCCCCAACGGTTATTTTCTGGTCTGGGAATAAAGTCCCTTTCTGCAGCTTTTGAAATAGACCAGAGTTCCTGAAGATGCGAGCGTCATGTACCTTTCCCGGCCATCCCACGTTGATGTTGGTGAAACGTCCCTTGTGATCCACCAGAGCTTGCAGCACTATTGAAAAGTACCCCTTGCGGTTTATGTACTCGCCGGCTTGGTGCTCCGGTGCCAAGATAGGGATATGGGTTCCATCTATGGCCCCAACACAGTTAGGGAATCCCATTGCAGTAAAGCCATCCACTATGACCTGCACATTTCCTAGGGTCACTACCCTTGATATTAGCAGATCTTTGATTGCGTTGGCTACTTGCATCACAGCAGCCCCCACAGTAGATTTGCCCACTCCAAATTGATTCCCGACTGACCGGTAGCTGTCTGGCGTTGCAAGCTTCCACAGGGCTATTGCCACTCCCTTCTCAACTGTGTGGGCTGCTCTCATTTTGGTATTCTTGCGCCTCAGGGTAGGGGAAAGCAAGTCACAAAGTTCCATGAAAGTGCCCTTATGCATGTGAAAGTTTCGCAGCCACTGGGAATCGTCCCAGACCTGCAACACTATGCGGTCCCACCAGTCTGTGCTTGTTTCCCAAGCCCAGAATCGGCGTTCCACCACATGAACCTGCCCCATTAGCACCATGATGCCCACATTGCCAGGGCCCGTGCTTTGAGAGAAGTCTGTGTCCATGTCCTCATCACTCACGTCACCGCGCTGACGTCGCCTACTCGCCCGGTATCACTTTGCCAGGTTCTGGTGCTGCATATACTGCTGGATAACGCGCGTGGTGTTTAATGTGCTCCTAATTGCCAAAGTGATCTGAGCAGGCTCCATGCTAGTCGTGGTATGGCGTCTGCACAGAAAAAAGGCGCACAACGATTGTCTGCCGTTGCCCTGACGGAGGGAGGGGCGACTGACGACATGGCTTACAGGGTTGGCTTACAGGGAATTAAAATCAACAAAGGGGATGGCTTTGCGAGAAACTGAATGGCCCCCTCAAGGATAGAACTCAAAACCTCAAGGATAGAACTCAAAACTGGGTTTAGCAGGCCATTGATTTCACAGAGGGAGGGAGGGAGGAGAAAATGAATACAAAACAAATCTGGTCTATTTCTTGTTTTGAGCCACTTCATCTATCTTTCTACATCTTGCTGGCAGCAGATTGTGCAGTACGACCGCTAGCCATCGTCAACACCTGCGTGCTCGGCAGAAGATGGTGCAGTATGACTACTGGCCATCGTCTTCTGCTAGCTGCAGATTAAAAGACAGTGCGGGACTGAATCGCCACAAGACGAAACAAGGGAAATGACCTGGCTGAGTCACTCCCGTGTTTGCCCAGGAGCCCGGTTAAAAGAGCACCTAGGACTACGTTGACGACGGCTACCAATCATACTGCACTGTCTGCTGCCAAAAGGCAATAAACTGCTGCTGTGTAGCAATGCAGTAACAAGTCTGCCAGCACCCAGGAGACATACGGTGACGGTGAGCTAAGTGGGCTCCATGCTTGCCGTGGTATGGCGTCTGCACAGGTAACTCAAGGAAAAAGGCACAAAACGATTGTCTGCCCTTGCTTTCACGGAGGGAGGGAGGGAACGGGGGCCTGACGATATGTACCCAGAACCACCCGCGACAATGTTTTAGCCCCATCAGGCGCTGGGATTTCTACCCAGAATTCAGATGGGCTGTGGAGACTGCGGGAACTGTGGGATAGCCACCCACAGTGCAACGCTCCGGAAGTCGACGCTTGCCTCAGTACTGTGGACACACTCCGCTGACTGTATGCACTTAGAGCATTTGTGTGGGGACACACACAATCAACTGTATAAAAACGCTTTCTACAAAACCGACTTCTATAAATTCGACCTCATTTCGTAGTGTAGACATACCTTGAGACCCCAGGACTTGGTGAATTTACATTCAGCCCAGCAGGTGGGCTCTATAGAACTAGATTAACCCCCGCACACACACACACCAAGTGCCCGGTGCTAGCCTCTGCTGGGCTCTTGGGGGAATTCTGTGGGAGCAGACTCTACTTCTGTTGTTTAATGGTCCTAATCTGGGCCACAGAGTGGAGCTGCCCTGAACATTATACTGACATTTGGTTCCTCTGCCCCAGCTGTATTTCCTGTGTAGCTTTTCCTTTCTGTCTTACCTGGGCATAGGAGTAAGGGGTGGGAGGAAGGACACACTAACTGATCAGATGGTCATATGTCTCTGCGGCAGATTTCAGCTTTTCCACTCGTGTCCAAACTGGCCATAGAATACGTGGAGCTCTGAGCGTTCTGTCACCCTGGATAAAAGAACCTGGGCTTCCAAATATCCATTCGGTGTTCATTAAAAATTACCATTTATTTCAATTTCCCAGGAAATAAATCCTCCTTTGAACATGCGACTTTAATTACTGCTTAGATCAGATACAGGAAATAACAGTTTGCCATCTGCCTTCAGCAGACTTTTCTTTCTTTTTTTTTTTTTCCTTGTCACTGTCAATAAGTTACAGGCCAGAATAACCAATCACTGGTTAATAATGGGTCTCTGATCTTCTGTCACAGAGCCCTCCAGACATCCCAATGCATCTGCTGTCCATTGCTGCCCTGGGGGAAGAGTGCAGGAGGCTGTGAAGGCTGCTTGAAAGCAAAATGTGACAAATCCAGTCTCCTTCCCAAAGAAGCACCCGGTGTCCCAACTAGGCTGTTCATTTCCATTCACTGCAGCATTTTCTTCTTGTTTGGGTGGTTCTGAATTTCATCACATGGGATCATTGCATATCAGTCCCTTCTGAATGCCTGTAGGCCCCGCGTGTGACAATGGTTTTCAGTTCTCTCACTAGCTAACCAAAAAGAATTTAGGGTTCAGCTTCATTCAGATCTGTGGGACTAGCTGCTTTGTTCTTGCACCTAGTTGGAAGCCCGTGTCTGGTGATCATAACTAGGCTGAGCATTAGCATTTCTGGGTGCAGCTCCTGGCACTGCCATTGACTTGCTGTGCATGCCACTTAATCGCTTTGTGTCTCGGTTTCCCCATCCATAAAATGCCACTAACATTCCTCACAGGGGGGTGATGAGGTTTTATTAATCTATCCATGCTTGTCAAGTACTTTGAAATCCCTCTTTGAGTACAAAACATTATTACCCTGTGAAAACGCGGCCTAAATGAAGGCGGAAAGCCCAGAGGTATCATGTTTGAAGACATCAGTGCTTGAGAAATGTTACAGAAAGGTGCTTGGGGGATTACTGTCATAGAAAGAAATATCCTCAAACCTCCATAGACCATTTTGACTTTGCCAGCTTGCAATGCAAAGTAGATACATACATGAAATTGCTCAGCAGAAGACTGCAAGAATATGCTTGTCTTCTGGTGAGTGGGTGACAGATGTGCCTTTGTCTTCTGAACTCTGTTAGCATTTCACTGAGGCAAGGCTGAGAGTAGATCCATACAAGTTACAACACAGGCTAAAAGACTGTGGGTCAAGGAAGGAGAAAAGGAAAAGCCAGTCCAGGAAATTAGAGGAAGGAATCCTAAACAGAAAACTCAAGGACTTTTCATTAGAGGCGACTTCTCCCAGCCCCCCATTCAAGGTCTCATAGACTCATAGACATTAAGGTCAGAAGGGACCCTTATGATCATCTAGTCCGACCTCCTGCACAACGCAGGCCACAGAATCTCACCCACCCACTCCTGCGAAAAACATCTCACCTGTGTCTGAGCTATTGAAATCCTCAAATCATGTTTTAAAGACTTCAAGGAGCAGAGAATCCTCCAGCAAGTGACCCCGCCCCATGCTACAGAGGAAGGTGAAAAACCCCCAGGGCCTCTTCCAATCTGCCCTGGAAGAAAATTCCTTCCCGACCCAGCTCCGTCAAGATCGTTCCAAAAAACGTTAAGTAAATAAAAAGGAGCCCTCTGCTTTGCATTCAAGGAGATTCTTTTTTTATCAATTTCATTAGGGCCCAAAGTAAGCAAAGGCTTCAAAGGACATCTGCAACACATTGTTTTGCTATAACGTGGTTACTTGTGTTCTGTACAAAAACTCCTGTAAGGACTTTCTCAAGCAGTTTTAGCTTTTGCTAGAAAATAAAAAGGGTAGAAAGTCTCCTGTTAATAACATTTAGCATGGAGCTATCCAAGGAGCTCAGTGCACTCTGCAAACATTAATTGTCCATTAAACTTCAGAGCTCCCTGGGAGGCAGGTAAGTCATGTGCTCCCCCGTCCTACTGTCCAATAATCTGTAAAATTCTCTTTAGCCTTCGCTCTTTGGACAAACATTCTTGCAATTCGTGTTCACTGGCAGGTTCATGGGATGGGAATGAGAAAGAGTCACCAGCCAGCCCAGGAGAATTGGCTTCAAAAGTCAGACAAGTGTGCACAGGGATTTATTGTACAGTATTCCTCCAGTTC